TATATATATGTATATATATATACATAAATAAAAAGAAATATATATCACTCATATTGTTATTTTTCTTCTTATTTTTATATTTTTGTCATGAGCACAAATAAATCACGTAAAAACCGTTATTCAATATTGTTAACTTCAAATCTGTTTTTAAAAAAGCAATACAAAAAAAAAAAGCTCCTTAGAAACTTTTTTAATGCATATATTATATGCAATGGTATATTCAAAATACAAATTCTTACATTCAGTATAAAGTTCAACGCTTCTGTTGACTTTTGTGTGTGGTTGTATGGCAACACAAGTAAAGGTGTTAAAACTATTACATGTCATGTAGTGAGATGTGTGTAGAGAGATTGGTTCCTTATCGTCCGACTTTCTAATAAGAAGATACGGGCCATTGTAAAGTTGTATTTCTGAAACAGGGTTACCATCCACGTGACAGCTTAATAAAATATGAGTATTCTCTTCTAGGATAAATGTAATATTCGTTACGCCGTTTACAGTCAGATTGTGTATTGCAGACGTATCTGAAAATATCCCAAAAATATAACGTTAAAATGTAAACAGATAGACAGATAGATAAATAAATAGATAGATAGATAGATAGATAGATAGATAGATAGATAGATAGATAGATAGATAGATAGATAGATAGATAGATAGATAGATAGATAGATAGATAGATAGATAGATAGATGGTTGGATTGGTGATATAATATTTGGATGTATATGGTGTTGTTAGGTTGGTAGATTGATGCATGAACGATTATGTTTAAGAATAAAGGAACATATTACCATCTAGCTTTATAAGTAGATGCATTAAATATATATATAAACACTGATGGAAATATTAAAGAAATATTGATAGATATGTAATTTATAAATTAGAATAATATAGAGGCACGGGCGCCCGCAGAAAACTTTCTAGGGGGGGGGGGGAAAAAAATTGATTAACTTTCTAGGGGGTGGGGGCAAACATTTTTTAGTAATGTTTTAATGTAGTTTTAATTTACTGTAGCGTATTTGTATGGTGAACGAACGGACAGGACATCAACTTAGTTACTTTCTTTTTATTTTCTCTTTACTTTAATACATTTTTTGTCTATTTTTGTCTAAAATTTTTTTATCCATTCAATCCAGGGTGGGGGGGGGGCAAATACCCCCTTGCCCCCCCCTGCGGGCGCCCATGTATAGAGGTGTAGTTATAAAGAAGAGTAAACAAGTGTGTGTATTATAAATGTTTTATTTTTTTAAGGAATGATATTCATAGTAAAATATTTATATATAAATATGTAATAATACGATTTATGAAAAAGAAAACGAACAATAAAAAAATCGCACACAAAAAAAAGAAGAAAAAAAACTTACAAAGTACATTTGGTTTGTAAAACGTCATGTGCCCTTTCCACATCAATTCATTGGTGGCTTGACAGTAATGACCTTTAAATTCAATAATTCAAGAAAATCACATCAAATAGCACACTGCAATTTATCAGTTGCACTCTAACGTTAAACAATCCGATTTGATTTTGATTTTTTAAAAATTTTAAATAAAATTGTGTTATTCATTTTGTCCATTGGGTTACCTTGAGAATTTCGTTTCGCTCGAAAAATAAGAACGTGTGGTTGATCAGGATTCACCATCTGACCATTTGTATCAAACCAGCTAACTGACACTCCCCTTGTTTCCTGTCTCGTTGTCTTACACGTACAGTTTACCTGCGATCCTTCTTCAACTTGGCGAGGGCAGTCATTTTGGACCCCGCTGGGATTTTCTTAGAAAAGCAAATATACATATATATACATATTTAAAATGGACTGAACTATCTGAATATATATTAGTAACGTTACATTTATAGAAAACGGCCCAAAAATATACAGTGAATCCTACAAAAAAAATATCTAACCTAGGGTCTTGAACAAAGTTGATGCTATATTTCAGAAACGTTATCATTTACAGTGTCAGCCAAAAAACATAATTTCTATAATAACAATGACCAAGACAGTGTTCCTTGTTGTACAATAATTTGAATTGATGAGACATACTCATATCGCATAACAAGAATGAAGAACATAAATAATGTAACAAAAAAGCATAAGTTATTATGAATTTATTTAAAAAACAGAATAATTGTGATACTAAGGCAGAAGATTTTTTGTTGTTTGTTTTAAACATTTGTTTTGCAGTTTATTTACCTCTAAATGAACTTTTATCAGTCTTAAGTTAAGAACAATATTTTAGGAATATCCAAACATAACATGAGAGTATTTTCTTTATTTGTAAATATACAAACACCCACTGTTCATTAACAACTCTTAATTTCATGGGAAGTATTCTCGCAACACACGCTGACGTAACAATGATTTAATCATGATTTAACAAGTACATAAAGGGGTAGCGGAGACGCTAAGCGAAGCATAAGGTCTGCATCTCTTCCATTTCTAAACACGAGTCGTTGCTATAGCGGTATGGTCTGTGATCTTCGATTGTGTAACGATAAAAAAGGCGCCCATAGTTTTACTACACTTTTCTTGCGCATCTTATTTGACGGTTAATTAGCAGCTTAAAACATCATCGACGTGCTTGGATATGGTGGCGTGTCTACCTCCATGAAAATAGAGGAAGTTAAAACTGCTTACAGTAGTTATGCTTTTCTAATTGCCCTGTCAGGGCAAACTAAAAAAAAGAAATTAAAAAAATATGATACAGATAAGAAACGTATCTGTTAGCTTTAAACAAGTTTCATGGAACAAAGGTCAAACACATAAATCTATCTTTCTTGGAGTTTTATCTGTAACCAAACATAGGGCATCATCAACATTTCCCTGGATATTTCCCCTGATAGATCGACTAAAAGACAGTGGTTCCTATCAGTAGAATTAAAAATACTTTTTTTTTCAACGTTTATGGGGAAAATTGAATTTAAAAAAACAACAAAAAAAAACAACTACTCATCGATAAACTAAATTATTAATGCCCATATTTTAAAGTACATGTAAAATTCAGAACGCCTTTCATCGGCCAGATTTGTTATTTGGTTTTCCGTGACAGTTCAGTCCGGATACCAAACCAATAGACATCCTGCCGGCACAGCTGGAAAAAAATAAAGATTTCGCGACGATGTAACTTTTAGGAATTAGCGTTTGAGATCATTTATTTCAAAAGAGTTTTGTTGAGAAATTGATTCATGCTGGGGTCTTGAGTCAGTGGACATGCAAGGACAGGGGTCATTTTAAAACTTGCTATATTTACGTTTCAATGTTTTTTATATATGTCAGGTATTCTCTGAGTACATACATTTTTACAATAACAGAGTGGTGAAACACTACACACTGCAAACTAATTTTTTTTCTTAAAAAAAGAAATGCCATTTTAAAAAAAAATATATATTACAAATGATAGTAAATTACCTAAAATAAGTGTGTGACTATAAGTTGTGCCATATTGAATGCTGGTCTCATCATTGGTGACAATGGGATACATCGTAACTGAGATATTATAAAATCCTGGAGCAAGAAGTGACGTTGAAACATGTAGAATACATCTTGTTGTGTAGTATATTGGTTCGCCATGAAGCTGCTCATTACTGGTAGATATATTTGTTGCTTTTAAAATTGACTGAAATCGTAAAAGAAATCATACAGAAATATGTTCGACCAATCAACTGGACATAAATTAGATATACATAATTGTATTACCATTCAAAATTATTGTTTCAATACATGTTTTAAATTACTATATTTCTGTGTTTTTTTTTGTTTTTTTAATTTGTGAAAGTAATAGTAATAATACAGTTTATTTTTAAAAAAAATCACGTTTCAACCCCAAAGCCTGGAAGTGCGGTATAAAGTCAACGATATTAAAAGAAAAATGAAACAATCTATATTTCATCACGTTAAAACACAAAACGCAACTCTACAAAACTGCAAACGAACATATTCATTTAAAGTCTTTCATCCCTTTCAACTATAAACAACACAAACCAATATACATGTAGGTGATAATTGCTAGATGGAAAAGATGGTAGAAGACATCGCTTAAACAGATTTTCGGGAAATAGACGTTTTTATTCAAATCGGTTTTGAATGATTCCAGTGTCTCGCTGTTTCTGAGAGCGACAGGGAGGGTGTTCCAAATTGTAGGGCTAGATAATGCGGAAGTGCGCCTTCCGTAGGTCTCCAAGCAAACACGCTGTATCGAGAGTTTGTAACTATCGGGTAAGCGGAGTTGTCTAGCGGGTACATAAGGCGTCATGAGCGCTTTGAGATAGGACGGCGCTATGTCATGCAAACAGCGGTAGTACACAGTTGCAATTTTGTACTCTAGGCAAGCATGGACCGGCATCCATTGCAGCTCTCTTAGAAGTGTTTTAGCATGGTCGAATTTGCGTTTGCGAAGAACAATGCGAGCCACATTATTCTGTGATTTTTGCATTTTGTCCAGGAGCGTAGCTGGAAGACCCAACATGAGGGCATTGTAGTCCTCCATGCGTGATAGCACGAATGCAAACATCAGCCTCTTTGATGCAGCAAACTTTAAGGAAGGTCTGATATGACGAATTCTGCGCAGCTCTAGAAAAATCGCATTGCAAATCATTTTAATCCGCTTTTCCATAGTTATAGTGTTCTGTCTAAGTAGACACCAAAGTTTCGCAATGTTCGAGCAAACTCAATCTGCACACCCGAGAGAGTAGGAGATTGTGTGTTATTAACATATTTTAGCTTTTTAGCAGTAGCAATTGGGATCAGCTCGGTCTTTTCTTTGTTTCGTTTGAGTTGGTTCATGTAAATCCAGTGCTTAACTGACTCCAATGTCTTCTGTTTCATACAAAAAGCTCAGGGAACTGAGAGGGGATAACGGATTTCTGAAGTTGGATATCATCCGCGAAAATGTTGTATAGCAGGTTAAACTGCTTGATCACTGCACCCAGGGGCTTAACGTACATAGGGAAAATCATCGGGCCAAGAACCGAGCCCTGAGGCACTGTGAATTCAATAATAGATTGCTTCGAGGTAAAGCCGTTTGCGATAACTGATTGGACCTGATTTTTCAGATACGATCGGAATCATCTCAGAGCGGTATCTTTTCAACCGAACTTTTTTTTTTGTGCAGACTTTGGAGAAGTATTCTGTGGTCAAGCCTTTTTTTTTTTTTAAAAAAAGAATGTAATCGTAATGCAGTTTAATTCTGGATTCTAACAGTTGTATGCCTTAATTTTTAAAAAGTTTTTACTAGTAGACATTTAAATGTAAAGAAAACTAAAGTAATAGGCAGTTTAGTAAATACATCGTTCTTCCCTTGAAATTAATGTTTATCATAACTAGGCATCAGACATTAAGCAACAGCTTGAGAATTACCCTTTACATATTTTTTATGAGAATGTAGTAAAAGTTATTTTGAAATATAACACTTTCAATGGGTAGGCACAAAGCGTGACACACACAATCCTAGAGCTGTTGGGTATGCAATGAATGTCAACGTAATTTTAGTTTGTGGTAGACTCAAATATAAATTGCACCTAATTCATCTCTTATGGTGTCCTTGCTTCTAAACGAGATCTGGGTCAAACATTTCCCCTCTTTAAACTTCAACAGCTGTCTCTGCGATCAATATCCTGTGACGTCAATTACACTCATGATGTAAGCAAATCAATCACCTATGGGGGGGGGGGGGGGGAAAGGGGGAATCGTTTCCCAAAAATTTTTCGCAACACACAGTGTCATAAACATTGCATTTAAACTAGTTCAATACTTAACCCTAAATCACTCAAAACATTTTTAAAATATTTACCGCAAATAATTTGTAAACATTGCAGTTAACATGAAGTCCTTACCTTATGCAGATATATGTGCCAATAACATTTTCCCTCTGGATATATTCTCTTGGTAGAACACCTCACTGACAACCCACTACTGGATATATCAGTATCGCATACAAAATCTTTACTTCTAACTGAAATCACCAATATATAATAAGTAAACCAAATATTTATGTTTTTATATTTCACAATAATTTACTCAAGACATTTTAAAAACCAGACGACTGATAAGACTATATATTATATAACATATTTAACTAATCCTAATATTTTGGTTAAGAAAAAACAAAGGAAAAAATGAAGTCATTCACTATTATTAAAAAAACAACTTTGAATGTAAATGCATCTATTCCAAGAAATAAAATTTTGTCTTAAATTTTCAACGTATTTGTCCGCAATGGACAACCAAAGCACTATTGTTCTATTCTATATGAATACACCCCTAATAATATAGGAAAATAAGAAAAGTTACAAAACGTAAAATATTTATAGACACACATGTTTAATTTTTTTTTTTTTTTAAGCGTTTTTATATTTAAATTGAAAGTTAAGTTTACAAATCTTCTATTTAATCCAATGCAAACTTTTGTAGCGTGAGTGATATGACAGAGATAAAACAAGGAGCATTATTGAATACGATTACTTCAAATGCCACTACGCGATGATTTATGTTGATTTCCTCACTTAATTTTTTTTTCTGTGCGAAATTGACTTTTGTTTTTTTAGTCCTACTTCTGTGAACTTGGTTAAAATACTGAATAAAAAAATTCTTTGAACAAATTCATTGCTCGAATTGATGCTTCTTTTATAATTGGTGCTCAGAAATACACGCTGTCATATCCCTATTTTTAATCAGTGTTTGGTCCTTTACGTTGCAAGATGATCAATGCTTCCACTTGAGTAGTAGTACTAGCCTTTAATTGGCTGAATTTTCTTATAAAGTGAGGTATATTTGCTCATAGTGTAAACGTCACTCTTTAGTACTTCCCTGTTTGTTCCAATAACAAGACTCAGTCAATGCGAATGGAAATAGACCAGAATACAGTGGATGTCCGAAACAGCGTTTCTTGAATCTCACGGTGCTTGTCAAAGGTGTTAGAATCCCTGAGCCTCTGGTTTATGCCAGGTGTTCAATAAGCGTAGGGCTACTAAGGCAAAGAAGGTAGTATGGTAGTGTGTGCAGGTGTTCAGTTGGTCAGTAGAGCGAGGACAGCGAGTGGGGTAGGATGCTGACCAGATCAGCGGATCAGTGTTACTGTTAGTTGGTGTTAGCTGTAGCAAATAGGAGTGTAATCCAGTGATCCCGTTAATAGGAAGTCTTTTAGCTAAGTTTGTTAGCATGACTTACCGTACTAATCGGATGATTTGTGTTATTGATCTTTATAAATAGCGTGTATTATTGGTGCTACTAAAATAAAGTGTACTGATTACTATTGAAAGCACTTGGAATCTAGTGTTGTTATTCTTGTGACCTGGTGACGCTACCCTAGACGACACCACCAAACAACAATTTCCACAAACAATTCTTGACAGTGCTTTTATGCTTTCTACATCGCAGTAGTGGTAGGAGCTAAGGTTTTTGTCCCCTGGTGCGGTGAACTCATTGGTACCCCCCCCCCCCCTTAACCCTAAAATGCCCACGAATTCCAAGATGGAATTCTTCGTTGTTAAAATAAGTCCAAACTTAAGGAACAACAATAACAAAAAACAAATTAACTAAAGGCCAGGAAGGCAATGTATTTAAGAACTGTAAAATGAACTTAAAATCGAACAACCCCATACTATTTGGTATTAATGTAAAAGTTTATTTTCCAAACAACAATTTCCACAAACAATTCTTGACAGTGCTTTTATGCTTTCTACATCGCAGTAGTGGTAGGAGCTAAGGTTTTTGTCCCCCGGTGCGGTGAACTCATTGGTACCCCCCCCCCCCTTAACCCTAAAATGCCCACGAATTCCAAGATGGAATTCTTCGTTGTTAAAATAAGTCCAAACTTAAGGAACAACAATAACAAAAAACAAATTAACTGAAGGCCAGGAAGGCAATGTATTTAAGAACTGTAACATGAACTTAGAATCGCACGACCCCATACTATTTGGTATTAATGTAAAAGTTTATTTCTCATAATTTAGATCAATAGAGCTTCATGTCACTTAAGAAAGTTATCGAACACTTCAAACGGCGTTAAATCATGCTCAAAGGGTGTTTTTATGACTTAATTATAGGGTCATCTCATTTCTCACGCAACAACCTTGAACTTTTAATGAAGCACGCATTTGGTTCGGTTACATGTGTGGAAATAATAAGTGTGATTGGTTATCCTTTTATGATATTCTATTAAACTCAACAGTGTGTGCCCTGTAAATTCTTGATTTTTCATTTTGGTGTCATCCCCCCCCCTAATTTTTAGTGTCACCCTGTGCAGTCGGCACATCTGGCACCTCCTATCTACGTCACTTTCACAGAACTGTAATACACCTTTCGATAACAGTATTTTACAATGCTCGAATTTCAATATTAGGAGTTACGCGAACTTGAACACTTTATTTACGCCATGTTTCAATCACTTAACGTTCAGCAGACGTTATGTGAGAGATTGCTGGTTATGGTTGGTATGCAACATACTCGAAAACGAAGCTACTCGTTATTCTAGTCTCGCTGTACAGAGTGAGCAGTTTACACACACACACATATATATATCTCTCTCTCTCTCTCTCTCTATATATATATATATATATATATATATATATATATATATATATATAATATATATTACAACAAAAATATTATTTTAACTTCAGATAATTTTATTACTTAAAAATGGAAACTTCTACAATGCTCAACTCTTGCTTCCAGCCCCAGAAGAAGGGGTCACTTGTTTTAATATACGATCATTTGGTAAATAGCATAATTTGTACACAACGTGTCAAATAAATTCATATTGTAGTTACTTTGACGAATAAATTGTTACACTAATTTGCTTGAATTTATATTACAAACTAGTAACGCTATTCTAGTAATGACACTATCAAACTCATGTTAATATTACACTTATTAAGATGATCACACTTACAGAAAACCTTTGGTCTGCAAATTAAAGTACTCTCCAAATAAGTGTTCCCAAATGAACTTGAAAACCAAACGCCTTGACTTCCCCTTCTCCTCAAGAAACTGTATATTGTATGTGTTACAATGACACTGCCATTAAATTCAGCAATAGTGGTATTGAAAATTTTGGGATCTGTATTGAAACACGATTTCGTACTTAGTGTACACCTTCCAATGCGACCGTTGTCAGAATCAATTCGTATTACATCATTATCTTTATGTTTCGGGGTTAAAATTGCCTTAAAATGATAAGCCTTGCCTTCCTCTGCAGGAAGACACCCGTTTTGTACCGGCCCTAGAAGAAAGAAATACAAACTGACATGTGTATTTACTTTGGATATTTTTTTGTACAGTTCTAAATCCTACATCAATAATTGAAAGCAAATTGATAGGTCTAATATAGAAAAATGTATTTCCTATGGATACATTGAAAATACGTTACCTGTAAGACATAAATGTCCTATTGTTAAATTTAATTTTAAGTCAATTTGGGAAACAATAAAATATAATAAAATGCAGATTTTAAATATATTAAAAATATTACACATCATAGTGCCCAAGAAAATGTGTCATGATTCAGTATAAAAAAGGATAAATATTTTATAATTTTATTTAAAAACATTTTTTTTTTTTAAAATTATTTGTCTATTTGTTTTCATTTTTTCGCCATTTATAATTGCTTACCATTAATTATTAATTTCTTAAGCAGTTACTTTTTTTAATGCATAGGAAATCTGTCCGAGCTCAAATATACATTATGGAAGTATTTTCACTGGAGAACATTTTAGCTAGATTTTATTTTCATATGCCTTACTTTTTTTTAAATTGACTAACCCGTTAGAAAGCTTGCTGTTCAATTGAGAAAAGTAAATTTACTTTCTTTGAATCTGTGGGTATACGTTGGGGATTTTTTAACACCACACCAATGTTTAAAATTCTAATTTGAAAAGATAAAACCATAACTTCATTCTGATATAATACTATATATATATATATATATATATATATATATATATATATATATAATATGTTGCGATATAAATATTTTATATTGTTTTATATTTATGTTTTTTTGAATCTGTGGGTATACGTTTGGGATTTTTTAACACCACACCAATGTTTAAAATTCTAATTTGAAAAGATAAAAACATAACTTCATTCTGATATAATACTATATATATATATATATATATATATATATATATATATATATATATTAAATGTTGCGACATAAACATTTTATATTGTATTATATTTATGTTTTTAAAATTTGTGTTCATACATTTCCTAACATACATAATAATATTCATTTAAACGTTTTTCGTACTAGCAGTTAGGTTCATTGTAAAAAAAAATATTGGAAACCTAAGCGAAGATAACTTACGTTGATGCTATACACACACAAGTTTATCGTATTGTGAGTGTAATTGATTCGTTTTCATTAATTTTAACGTAATTAGACGTTCAAGCAGTTACATCGAAAAATAGTATATACTTTTAATATTTAAAAAAAAATTATATTAACAGTTCAAAAGTATTTTATTTTATTTTAGTAAAATTGTTCATTTCTTTATAATAATAAGAGATTGTAGCAAAATATATACTTTAAAATAATATATATCTTCTTCATTTTAATATAAACACTTTTTATCAGGGCATCAAAGATTGTTCTGAAAAGTAAAAACTATTTTTTTTTGAAAGAGGGAAAAAATAATTAAAACGTCAAAATTCAGTGCAATTATCCATGTACTGAATTTTTTTTTTTTAATAGTTAAAACAAATTAAACAATTACAATTGCAGGCTATTAGAATAATATCTAGTTCCTTTATACGTTTCAATAACTTAATTAATTATATTATTGTATACCGCATATACATTCATAAAAAGAGTTAGTATATATATGTATATTGTTTATTATTTAATAACAAAACAATTTATTAACTTACCATTTTGTGAAATGTTAATGCATAACACTATCAAAGTTATAGTACTATATACTATTCTAGGAACCATTGTACATATGCTAGCTATTTTATAATTAGTTTAAACAATTTTTTTTTTACATCTAATGCCTTAGAAAACGTGTACAATAATATGAACAAATTAAAAGAAATAAATAAATGTATTGCATATATCACTTTATTTTAAAATTGTATCTTTTAAATTTTTTGTTTAATTTAAGTTAACAATTGAAAGGATTTGCATTTGTGAAAATTTCTCCTAATTAAAGAGAGCACTATACAAACTATAGTTTAAATTTAATAGTTATTATTAAACACATCGTAGGAACAACTGTCAACTTACAACTAAATTAAGTGTAAAACATTTGTAAAAAAATACTTTTTTCCCAAGAAATTATGTTGGAAAAAAACATTTAAATTTTAATTTATGACTCAATACTAAAGCTTTTTTTTTATGATACTCATAATATATGAACCATCAAAATTCCCATTTAGATTGATGAAAACTTTGCATTTAAAACGTAGTTCAACTTAGTCCTCTAATTTCATTTGAACTTTAGATTTTCGAATAAAACATGCATGATTCATTGGTTAAGTGCAGAACTTAAAATATTTTTTTCGGAAATAGTCTATTGAACTTAAACTTTTGGCTAGAGGTTATCTGTTTCAAAAACATATAATTGACTAGATTGCAGTTTTTTTTTACATTTAACAACACACAAACACACACACACACACACACACACACACACACACACATAGATTTATGATTAACAGTGTTAATACGTGTCAATACTTTAGAAGAATAAAAGGCGTGCATCATATACATTTCAAAATGTAATAAATTTCTATGTAATGTACAATATATTAAATGATAAATGGATATAGCAAAGTGGTTAAAGCAATATCGATAGGGATATACCAACATAATGTTACGTTTGAAGATATGTCTAAATTGAAACTTTATGCTCGACAAACTGGACACGTTGAAATTTAGTTAAAATGTTAATTCAACAGATTTTAATTTTAAAAAAAATATTCTATTCATTATTACATTTTCGAAGAGCAGAATGATTGAATACAACTTTTCTATCTAGTTTGGCAGTAACGAATTATATATATATATATATATATATATTTATATGTGTAGTCCAGTGCGGAGTGAGAATGGTTGTCACTACAAGTTTAACTTTCTACAGAATGCAATAAATGATTTCAAATAACAAGGACAAGAAAAATAATGACAATATTAGAATATATACATACCATGCCACACCTGCACAGATCAAAGAAAGGCACAATTACACTAACGCAGTGGTTCTAAACCTTTCTAATGCCACCATTTCTTAATACATTGCCTCATGTTGTGGCGACTCCCAACAACACATAACTACTTCATAACTGTAGAGTATATGTGTTTTCCGATTGCCTTTGGCGACTTCTTAGAAAGGGTCGTTCGACCCCCAAAGGTGTCCTGACCCTCAGGCTGAGAACCATTGTACTAACGCAATGTATAAAGTCAGTCAGTCAGTCAGTCAGTCTTTTTGTCCGTCTGTCCGTCTATTTATTCATATTTTAAAAGTATATTTCGATTAAAATCTTAACAATTTAACCATGTTACTTTTCCACCGGTTTTAAAAACTGCTTTAACTTTATTTTTATGAATTTTACCAGACACTTGAAATTTTAACCTAGGTTCGATTTTCTTAATAATTTATGTTTAAAATGATATAGATTGTCCGTATAATTTTTATAACATAATTTGACACATTAGTAAGTATGAACTAACATAATATGCTATTGTTGCTGTTTTCCACCCTTAGTGCCATTTGAACAGTGACAAACTTTTTCACAACGCAACAACCATATTTTTAAGATCCGTTTTTGTTGCAAATTATTTTAATTTTTCTAGCAACAGCGTTGTTTCTATATGTCCATTTTGTAAGGCGCGTTGAATTGCTGTTGAAAATGTTGCATCCCTATCATAAATACTAACACTAGGATTATTAATTGCTTTTACAATCGGAGTATGTCCTTTCTCTGAAGCTAATATCAACGTCGAACTTGCTTGTTTTTCATTCAGATTACCACCCTGACTTACAATCATCTGAAATGTGTTAAGATGCCCGTTTTCTGCAGCAATCATCAATGGGGTTTTTCCTAGTGTGTTTACCTCATTAATCTTGGCCCCGTTCCTTATTAGATGCTCAGCAATCACGTCAAATCCCTTTTTTGAGGCGAACATCAAAGGTGTCCATTTTTGTTGATCGGTGTCATTAACGTTAGTCCCCTTGTCTATTAAGAGTTTTACAATATCAAAGTTTCCATTTTCAGTTGCCAGGCTTAAGGCAGTGTAGTCATGACACATTTTGTCATTAACATTAGAGCCACACTCTATAAGAAATTTTACAATATCATAGTGTCCATTTTTTGAAGCTTGCGCCAATGCATTGTAACCAGATTTGTCACGAGCATCTACATCCACGCCTGGTTGAAGAAGAAGTTTAACCATCTCTAAATGTCCATTCTCTGAAGCTAGTATTAATGCGGAAGCACAATGACTTTCTTCCAATTTTCCGCCATACATAAGAAGCATCTCAAATGTTTCAACGTGTCCATATTCTGCTGCAAGGATTAATGCGGTCTTTCCGATAGAGTCGACCTCATTGATGCTAGCATTATTCTTGATTAAATATAGAACAGTATCAGTATAGCCCTTTCGAGACGCTAACATCAAGGGTGTGTATTGGTCATCTTCCTTATATTGTGCACCTTTTTCCATGAGGAGTTTTATAATTTCCAGATGTCCGTTATCAGTAGCCAAAAATAATGGAGTCTCGCCATTACGCGTTTTTTTATTCACATCTGCATCTCTTCCTAAAAGCATTGTTACAATTTCAATGTGTCCATCCCTTGAAGCTTGTGACAACGCATTGTAACCAGTCTCGTCATAAGCATTAACATCAACGCCCATTTCTATAATGTGTCTTACCATCTCCACGTGTAGGCTTTTTGTAGCTAATATCAAAGCCGAAATTACCTGATTTCCATCCACGTTTCCACCATTTGCAATAAGCTTCTCAAACGTTTTGATGTGTCCATTTTCTGCAGCAAGCATTATTGGCGATTTACCTGATCTGTCAGCTTCATTTCTTTTGGCTCCTTTTTCAATTAGATACAAAGTGACTTCGGTATGACCATTAAGAGACGCTAACATCAGTGGTGTCCGCCCATCTTTATCTTTGGCATTTACTGTAAAACCCTTTTCAATTAGAAGTTTAACAGTCTCGATATGTCCATTTTCACATGCTTTCATTAATGGTCTATGGCCACTGTTTTGAAACATATACGAATCCCCATTTTTAGCCGCATGATCGAAGAGAGTATTTACAATATCATTGTTTCCATTCCGTGATGCTAGTATCAATGGCGTAGAACCAGAGTCTGTCATTGCGTCTAATTCAGCCCCATTATTAATAAGGAGTTTTACAGTGTCCAATTGACTACTAACAGTAGCAGCCATTAATGCTGTGTAACCTGAATGTATCTTTTCATTTACATTGGCGCCACTTTCTATTAGCAATTTTGAGATTTCAGTGCATCCATTTTGTGAGGCTAAATATAGCGGAGTAGCTACATTGTTATTTATGTTAGTTCCCTTCAAATTTCTCTCACCGTCTTTCTCACACCTTTCTAGTATCAGGTTCACGATTGTAGTCATTCCTTTTTTTGACGCTGTATGTAACGGAGTGTAACCTTTTTTGTCTCTTTCCTTTAAATCAACCCCATTTTTCACAAGGACTTCTGCGATTTGAGTTTCTCCGGCCTTCAAAGCAAGAGACAATGCAGTGTTTCCATTCTTATCTTGTTTATTAACACTTACTCCATTTTTTAAAAGGAATTCTGCGGCTGCAATGTGTCCATTCTCTGATGCCAAATGTAACGCAGTGCGATTACTTTTGTCTTTCTGATTGATAAAAGCTCTTTTTGTCATCAAAAGTTCAAGACAATTAACATGACCATTTGCTGAAGCTTTTAGTAGCGCAGTATAACCCAGGTTAGAAATGTGATTTACGTTTGCATTATTCTGTATAAGCATTTCAGAAGTTGCGGCATGTCCCGCTTCTGAAGCTTTTATCAAAGCAGTATTTCCATGGGCATCTTGTTGATCAACTTTGGCGCCATTTGCAATGAGCTCTTCGACAAGCCGTGTATGTCCTTCTTTTGATGCTTCTATTAAATCAGATGTATGGATAGTGTCGTCGTTGGCTAACTGCAAAAATCGCATAGGTCGTTTTACAGCATTTAAAGTGATGGGGTTATATAGTAAATGACAATTTATTTAAAATAAAAAAAGCAAAATCTTGCAGATTTAGGTGTTGATAAGTATGTTGCTTTCTGTTTTAATTGTTGAATTTACACTTTAGTGCAAGTTGAGGTAGTATAAGGATGAAATTTAAATAGAAACACACACTTAAACACCCACACACATTCCCCCACACCCATAAAAATAATTAAAATTTTAAAAAAAAATTAAATAAATACATTGTATATTTGCATATTAGTTTTCAAATATTTTGTATACATTGATTAGAAACAAAAAAAAATGAACAATTATGAAAGTTATCAATGAAAAATTTTAGTAACATTAAGTTTAGCTTTTGTTTCCATGCATGTGTATAAGTAGGCAAATGCTTTCTTTAAAAATATTTGGAATCGCACACTCCATACATACGTACGGTAAATTGATCCAGTAATATCTCATTTGTATATTCATCATTGTCTTCTATGCTGCACTTTCCTTTGTTCTGACAAGAAAAATAATATGATAAATGTTTAAGAATTTAACAGTTTATAGAGACTGATATATGTAATATATTAACATATTATTTATATTTAGAACTTGATAGGTGATATATGACATATTAAAAATCGTTTTATAATATTTGATCCCTACTATAAGAGCTATAAATGCTCATCCAGTAATGTCAGTGTATCTGTTCATCCTCACGTTATTACTATAGCAACATATAATAAGAAATTATGTTACCTCTTTTTGTCGTCGGCGACGTTTGATGCAGAACCTTTACAAGTGAAAAGAATCATTAAACATTTTATTTTTTTTATAATGTTATTTTCATTTTTCTTTAATGTTGTTAATATAACTAAGGAAAAAAGGGGGATGAAGTCAATCTATAAAATAAGTAATTCTAGGTAGATATCTTGATAAAATTCAAGCCTCTAAGTGCTGCATGATTTTCTTCAAAATATACTATTTAACCCAAATTCGTTACAAATGTGTAATCAAAACGGAGAGAGACTGCAATAAAATTAACAAAAGAGAAAGTCATTAAAACAAGGTACAGTGAAACCTCTCATAACGAGCGGCTCTCATAACGAGTAATTCGCAGAACAAGCAAAAAAACTGTGAAGAAGTTTCTCCCTTAACGAGTGAGATTTCGCATAAAGAGTTTCGCAGAAGGGGGAAGTCCCTTTTTCGGACATTTATTTGTGAGCCAGGACTTCCGCGCCGATGCATTAGGCTGTGCTTAACACTTGGTCTGTTAGCGTATTGTTTTCGTGTTTGATCTCCAGTTTTTGCAAGTTTTGTATTCAGACAGTATTCGTAATTTTTTAATGTGGAAAATGTAATAACCTATGCTAAAATGTCTTCGGAGAAAAAACCACAAGAAGACAATCATAAGAGAGAAAAAATAACTATTGAACTGAACCGTAAAGTATTGAAAAACGAGAACAAGGGGTGAGATTGCCTAATCTAGCGCGCACATACAATCGGTCAACATCAATGATCAGCACTATTCTCAAGAACAAAAACAAAATTAAAGAGATGGATGCTTCAAAGGCATTGTCAAGAATTTCTACGAAACGGTTACGTATTCTTGATGATGTTGAGAGTTTGCTTATAATATGGATAAACGAGAAGCGATTACAAGGCGACACTATTAACGGAAACATTATTTGTGAGACGGCGAAACTTATTTTCGCTGACCTCGTTAAGAAAACACCAAGATCATCTACTGCCGAAAAAGAACTACAATTCAAGGGAAGTCATGGACGGTACGAGAAGTTTAAGGGAAGAACCGGCATCCACAGCCTTGTTAGGCACGGTTAAGAAGCAAGCTCTGACACAAAAGTGGCAGGGAACTTCATCAGTGACTACCTTAAGCTCATAGATCTTGTGGGTTACCTGCCGTAACAATTTTTTTATAGTGACGAGACGGGTCTCTTCTGGAAAAAAATGCCAAAGGGAACCTATAAAACAGCAGAAGAGAATGCATTGCCAGGCCACAAGCTAATGAAAGACCACCCCACACTGCTATTTTGTGCCAATGCAAGCGGCGATTTGAAAATTAAACAACTGTTTGTTTACCATTCAGAAACTCCGCGAGCCTTTAAGAAGTGTAATGTCCAGAAGAGCAGACAAAATGTAATGTGGAGATCCAACAAGAAAGCCTTGGTGACACGTGACATTTTCCCTAATTGGATCAATGAAGTATTTGGTCCTTCTGTAAAAAAAAAATATTTGCTTGAGATGAATCTTCCTCTCCATGTCTTGCTTGTTATGGACAATGCGCCCGCCCATCCTCCAGGCCTACAGATGATATTCATGAAGAATTTAATTTCATAAATATCCAGTTTCTGCCTCCAAACACAACTCCGTTACTCCAGCCTATGGACCAGGAGGTTATTTCTAATTTAAAAAAAACTCCACACTAAAACACACTTAGAGCGTTGTTTTCAAGTTACTGAAGAGACAAATCTCTCTCTTAGAGAGTTTGGAAAGATAATTCTCACATCGTTGCTTGCCTCAAGATGATTGACATGGATTGGGAAGGAGTTCCCAAGAGGACCCTCACTTCTGCTTGGAAAATCTTGGGCCAGAGAGTGTTGTTGAGTGTAATTTTGAAATAGTACCTGTGGAGTCTAAAGTTAACGAGATTGTGTCATTGGCCATTAACATGGGTCTCGAGGTAGACAACAACACTATTGAAGAGCTTGCTTAAGAGCACAGTCCAGAGTTGACCACCGAAGAGCTTATGGAGTTGCATCGTGTTTCACAGCAATAAAATATGGACGAGAGCTGATTAATGGAGGCGGAAGTAGCAGAACAACAATCTTCTAGCGCAATCATAGAAATCGTACATTGAGAAGCATCACCTCTAAGAAGGAGGTGGCTTTGCGTGTTAAAAATTCATTCAATGATAATGCTGTGATACATTTTCGTCAAATTTTGAAGCGTCGGCAAAAACAAATGTCTCTAGACAGTTTTCTAGTTAAAAGGATTAATTATTTGTCATAAATTCATATTTTTATTTACGTTTTTTGTTTCAAATCTAAATTGTATTCCAAGTTTTTACTCTCCTTAACAATTCATAAGTAATTTTTTTGTGTGGAATAAATGTTAATAAATTTTTTTGAAAAATGAGTATTTTTTCAGCATGGAACGCATTATCGTATTTTACATTGATTTGTATTGGAACTATTGTTTCATTTAACGAGTGTTTCCCTTAACGAGTAAGATTCTACAACGAATTATGCTCGTTATGAGAGGTTCCACTGTATGTGATATTCTGAAAAAGGACTGCAACGAAACAACGAAAGTGATAGCAGAAAGCCTTCGTAAGCCAACAAGTGATAGAAATACATAATTAAATTTAAAAATAGCACTTGGCTTAAGAGTGGTATCCGAGAAAGCAACACAATTCTTTATCAAGTAAGTACACACGACTTTAATATATAAATATATATATATATATAAATATATATATACATATTTAAATTGATAATTTGCCTCCTTTTTATGAAAAGAAATTAATTTTTTTTTTTTTAAATACGTTTAGCCGAATAAAAGAAGAGCGTATTTTCTTTGCAAATCCGTATACTTTGAATAATATGAACACTCCAGTTAAATCGTTAAGCTTTGCTGCCTCACACTGCGATACAAATGTACACCATCTTTATGAAGCTGCACTCTGTGAATTGTCTGCGCACATAACCTCCACAAAGTTAGAGCTAACATAGCTAAAAATAGTAAGCAATGTTTGAGGAAGCAAACAGCAGAACAAATATAAAATGAATTTCTTACCATAATAGACAAGGAATGAGCAAAACTATTGCAATAGACACTATTGCTACAGGAATTGCAACCTGAATGTGAGTTTTTGGTGGATCTAAAAAAAAAAGAATTAAGAAAAGTATTACACTTTTTTCTAATTAAAAATGTGTATTGATACTTGACGCTATTCACAAGAAGTAACAGTACCGAATCACCAGCATCTTCAATGGATGTGTGCGTCTGTCAACGGTTCATCACCCCATCCGCCACCTGTTACTGAGATTGAACAGCAAGATATGTTTGAGAGTTGCTGCTGGATATGTATCTCTCAACGGAAGGAAAAAAAATATATAAAGCCTCGTCAAAGTTATTGAACCTGTCCTTAAAACGAAAACGCATCTTTGTCCATAAAGAATTGAATAACGAATTTATATCTTATGTTCAGTTGCAAGGATCTTCATCCTAAACTTTTGAGAGGCCAATGAAGAACTTCTAAGAGACACACGTGCGTGATTCTAATTCAAAATATTTTTTGTCCTAAGGACTTTATTCCGTTTGACTTCCACGTTGCTTGGTGCTGCTTTTATAGATATCTCTTGGAATTTTAACGCTAATTTTTTAAAAAAAAGAAATAAAGCTCTGCCCTTTCACTACTTCTAATGTATAATGAAAATTGTTCATCCATCCCACGCGAGTAGTAGCGTGGACTTGGGCATAATTTTATTTAATATAAGGGAACTTGCTCAATTCGTCAGCTTCACTTTCTTGTGCTGGCCTATTTAATCCAATGGTAAGAGTTATCGAGGCGACTGAAAATAGGTCAAATAGATGAGTGTTTTAAGGTGCTCTTTGTGCGTTCTGTGTCGCAGGAGTTGTCGGGATTATTATCGTGTCAATGTCATGCCACTTACGTGCTCGAACTCGGTTTTGATTTCAGAGTCTGCCTTCTCTTAGATGAGTGGCCCTCAAAGGTTAACGAATCCCATCCTTCAGGGTTGGGGGTGATGCCTTTGCTTTGATGTTTATTGAGCTTGAGTCAAATAGCTTGAGATTGACATGGTTTAGACCACTCGTCCACCCGATATGAACTGACTAAATACAACTTCCAAACATATCTTTCTTTTCAATACAGGGAATACTTTGCGTCTTGAGTTGACATACGGATATACCCTATCAAGATGCAGGGGTTTCAGTTCAGCTACTCTTGAGCATACCGTTTGGACAACCGTTGGAACTAATTTATAAGAAAATGTAAGCTCTTCTTAAATGTTCATAGCATTATCAGAATTTGTTAAGTATATAAATAAATGGCCTATACATTATTTTGAACTCTCATTGTAAGAGAAGGTCAAACGTATTCTAAAGAGAAATCTTGTAGGAATTTACTTGCTCACAATCTTTTTTATTTTCCATTTAAAGCTACAGTCAGCATCTGTAATAATTATTTTACTTCACTTTATCCAGGGGTGTTTTCTTCATCATTGCTTGGGGTTTTATCATTCAGAATTTTGGGATAAACTAGCTTTTATTTCAATCAAACATGGTTCGATTGTACTAATGCATTGAAATAAATTATAAATTACCAATAATGTCACGAAAATTTTCTTCATTCTCTTTTTGTAGGTCATTTATTGCGAAAAATCCAAATGCCCCAACGGATCCTAAAAAAAATATAATTGAAAAATACAGTTTTAAAATCCTTCTGTTGTTAGATCTTTACAATAGATTTTATTTGTAAAAAAAATCTTTTTAAAACCATCAACAATAGAGATTGATAACGTCATAAAAACAATCATAATGGAATAAATTTATATTATAGTTAGATCAAATCTTTTCTAATTGTACTTGAACAAAATATATTTTAAAATTAAAAATTTATATACACTTCAACCAATTCATAATCTTTAAACACAATCTAAAACAACAATAATAGTGATTCATTATCTTTTTAAGAATGCATTTTTAATGTTTTTAAGTGCTTCTATTTTTACAATGAATAGACATAGTATAGTATATTTTCATCTAAAATGTTAATTGCCATAAAATTGCTATAGAAGTCTAAATTTTTCGATATAGTTCGTATTTAATCTCATCCAACATCGTATTACTTTCTTTATTGTGAAAATACGAGTATTTTTGAATTAGTTTTATTGATGAGAAAGACATAAATTAATTGTTATAAATTTATTTACCATAGATTTCTGGCAACTTCTTTGAATCATTAGCTAATATGTATTCATTCTGCGTAACAGAACCTCGTATGGTTGACGCATTGAATTTTTGAAGAGCTTTAAATGCAACTGATATAACATATTCATAAGTATCTATCTTTGTGCAGGAATAGTCAACATTAGTTTTATAGCCAGTGCAGTCATCTTTTAAAAACAATTTGCATAACTGAAAATAAAGAAGAAGTTGAAAATGTTATTTCCATAAAATGAGGATTGTGCGTATGAAGTAGTATGTGTTCTTTAAAAAATGTGTCTTGTTTGTTTTCTTAACCGGTTTTTGTTTTGTTGTTTGAATTATTACGAGTACCAAAGTAGGTATACATATATATATATATATATATATATATATATATATATATATATATATGAAATGATGGAATTGCTATTAAAATATAATGTTTATTTTTTTTTTAAAGTTAGTATATATATACATTGTACGTGATTATATTATACTTAAATTACAATTATCATAAATATAATTATATATATATATATATATATATATATATATATATATATATATATGAAATGATGGAATTGCTATTAAAATGTAATGTTTATTTTTTTTTTAAAGTTAGTAAATATATACATTGTACGTGATTATATTATACTTAAATTACAATTATCATAAATATAATGTAAATGTAAATGATACTCATCATTTTCTGTAATATAACACTAGAGTTGTTTCTAAAATAGCAATTATTAAAATGAATTAAAATGGACTTAATCTTAAATTATGAGAATCTCACAAGCTCAGGCACTTGGCTATTCTGAATTTGGTTGTGGAATTCCACGAATGTTTCGGCAGATGTGACCTCTGCCAATTTTACAGTACAGTTGAAGGCAACTTTATCGATTTCTTTTAACAATCCTGTAGAGAAGTTTGATTTGGAGTCTCGATATGTTATATTGAAACATTTAATCTCTGCAACAGAACTTGGGACACCTAAAATGTATTAATACACAAAATTAACTTAATCTGCCTATAATTCCAAAATATGCAGTTTTGATTTATGTAAGTATTTCTTAAACAATTTAATGTTAATATATTCAGTGTCATACCATTCATGTTTTTGCAACTATTTTCATTGAATAGATGCAGAAAGTACAGAATTATATGCTGATTAGTTGGTCTATTGATTACACTAAGTAAATAATTGCAATATCCTTTAAAGTGTTTAATTATAAAAATTCTTCTTAGAAAAGTGCCATTACTTTGTATCTAGCCTTAAACCGCGAATTTTAAACTATATATAAAAAACATATTTTTTTGTTTGTATATTTTATTAGAGTAGTTTAAAACTATTTAGCAAATAGCACACACAGCTCTCAGTTTTTAGTTACTTTTATACTTATGTTTTATGTTTGTTACTAAATTTAACTTAATACCTCCAATACAATAGCACCCTGGAAACAGCAGAAACTTATAAATCAGAAGCATCTTCAAAACATTTCGAGTTCCGATCTTATTATTCAATGAACCTGTGAAATAAAAATCACAACAAATACATATTTTTAATCGCCATGTTGATAAGTGATCTAAAACATTAATCACTGTATTAGTGTTTTTATGTTGTGGATGCTTACTAGTAATTGAAATGTGTAGGCAGAAATAAATTTTGGACTAAAAGCCTGGTGCTGCAAATTGTATTAAAGACTAATTACTTTTTTTTTTTTAAATAGTAACGCCAAAGTACAAAGTCTCTCAATCGTCTCCTAATACAGAAACACTCCGTAAAATATCCTGGGAAATGTCTTTCGGGAACTATTTCACCAAAATATAGACCCCTGAAGCGAGGAGAGTCTAAACATAATCACCTGTGTTAAAGAAAATATAGACATTCCTATAAGTTTATTAAACTCTCTGATGTTTAGCCCAATCTTATTGCTGTGTACGAAAGAAAGCTCACTCGATGTCAACACAAAGCAGGTGAAAGGAACGGCGGTCACCGATGGAGAATACGTTACCAAGATGACTGTCGAACACATGTTACCAGACAGAAAACCAGGTCAGAGCATGTAACACTGGTGTTGTCTCTGTATTAAACAGGACTATATATGCATGTACTGTTTGTAATCAAGGTTGTGGAAACGGCTTTTTTATTTTATTTACCGAGCTCCTGTCCCGATCTATTTTTGTAAGACAAAACTCTGTGCGAGCGCCGGCAATGTTTTAAAGGGGTTATGGGGGTTGACGAAAAGGAATGTTGAGCTGAGTATTTAAAGAAAATAAAATTCTGGATAGTGACTCTTCCTGTCAATAACTCATGTTATTTGCTAAGGCATTACTAATGCATGTGCCGGCAACACAACCGTAACATAGTAAAAGTGTGGGTCATTATGGCTGTAGAAAAGTGGGGTAACTTAGCTACAAAAGTGTGGGGCAAAACATTTGGTTAAAGGTGCGGACCAATTATCTGTCAGAAAAGTGGTCGGCATAGATAGTTAAAGAATGGGGCTTACAGCGTTATGATTGTCACTAACCGATTTTATAATCTACGCATTAGAAATGCATGCACCAACAACATGGCTGATTGATGAGTGGGGCAGCACAGCTTGTAGAGGAGCGGTAAGAAACCTAACTGGTATATAATTTAAAAAAAAAAAAATTACATTGTTTTTTAAAACTTCTTTTATACATAACAAAATCCAATTAAGGGTCAGGTTCAACGAATAATAGTTTTAAAACTTTTTTGCTCAATAGCAAAGTATATTACTTACCACTAATCAAAATAAACGATGTTACCACATGGTAAGGAATGCGATTCTATATTAAGATCCCACATAAATAGAACAGTTTCAATTGTTTAAATATTTATGTATGTAACCTACCTATCCGCATTTGGAAAGTAAAATATACCCTACGTTAAAAGGTGTATTATGAAAACCCATAATGACGTCTTCTCACAAGTTAATTTTTGGGTTTTCCCCATTCACGTTACGTTTTCCAAGTAAGCTACTTGAGCTGTTTTCTAATCCGATGTTTTAATTTTATTTAAAGGGAACAAAAATACATTAATGGCTAACAGCACCTACAAGTTATTTTAATAGATCTTTTGTAAATATTGTCTAAACATTGTTTACATAAAATATATTAAGTTAGAATTTTGTTTTATAATTCAAATAAAGCAGTATCTCGCTTCAAGGAAAATTTATTTTAAAAAAACAAAAAAACTAACAGAACAGCTCATTAATTAAGGAAAGTAACCGACCACTAACCATTGATAATATTGTTGTGTTCAATAGCCATGGATGACTCATTAGTTTAAAAACAAAATAGATTATATGATAATAAATTCGCTTAAACCATACAAAAATATTTTTAGTGTCACTTATAAATGGAGACTTCTAATAATATAAAATTAAGGAACCCACAAAAGAGGGGGAAGGGAAACTTCACCTGCTCCTGACCAACTGTCCACATCTCATCCCAAAAGTTGAGGTTTGCCACGGGATATCAGACCACTGCATACCATATTGCGAATTTCAAGTCCACACACTTACAAAGAGACAGGTCATACGAGAAATCCCAATTTCTGCAAAGGCAGACTGGGATAGCCTAAGGAGTGCAACGACAGAGCTGAGCTCTAACATGCAGTAGATTCAGGGTACAGCGACAACGTAAGAGCTGTGGGTGAAGTTTAAGGCGAAAATCACTAATTCAGTAATACAAAAACACGACCAAAATACCTAAGATAAATCAGCCATGGGCCATGGCTGTAGTACGTAAGCTCGTCTACAGGAGAGACCACCAATACTAGCGGTTAAAAAAATGGGTCGTTTCAACTGAGAGAGGAAGTACTGAGGCTCGGCTGAAAAATCTAAAACTTACTGCGCAGATATTACTGGAACTACCTGAACGGCATCTTCTCAGAGGAAGACACTCCGAACAAGGGTGTCAAGAACAAACGCTTCTTTCTCCTGTTAGGTGGAAGGGTCATTTAAACTCTGACCCAAAGCACAGATTGACATACTCAATTAGCAGTTCTAGTTGGTCTTTGGTGACGGTAAACAGTACTCCAATGCTGAGTTCCTGGAAACCAACGTGATTAACAGTGCCTAGCCTGTCATGGAAGATATCCATATTTCAAGGGCCTGGTGTGCTTTCCCTCCTCAAAATTGTTTAACACTTCAAATTATGTGGTGCTGATAACATCAAGCCACGAGAACTCAAAGAATTGGCCGAAGAAATTACTCCTGCTCTAAAATTCTCTTTAATTTGTCGCTGTACACAGGCAATTTTCCAGAAGACTTGAGAACAGCGTATGTATGTCACTCCAATCTACAAGAAAGGGGAGCATTTCGACAATGTCAACAATAGTTCAATAAATAGTATGGTGTATTTATTAATTCACATTCAATTATTGTAGCTTCTGCAAAACATTTGCCTGGCTAAAATATTATTATTTCTATCTTTTATTTATTAAAATTACAATGTGCTATTAATTTATTTGTTAACAATACACCAAAGAATTCGAAAATTTTTGTGTAAGGCAATATACTTACAGGTGCACAAATCTTAAACAATTTGACAAGAACCCCGTAGACATTAACTATGGTTTGATGATAGTGACACAAAAATACAACAATCCATATTAAAAAAAAATCTTCTGTTAAGTTCAAAAGAACCAACGTCAAAAACATATTGGTTTTTATCTGGGTTTGGGCCCACTCATTCATTTTATCTTTTTAGTAGGATACATGTTGATATATATTATGTAAAATTTAATTTATAATAATTTTTTTTTTTAAACTGATAAATGAATTTGCGAAATCCTTTTTTTTTTTAAATGTTCTTTTTGGTAAATAATCGTTACAGCTGAACATATTTTGTTTGATTTACAGAAATAGTTAATGTATAATTCATCTACATTAAAGCTTTATCGCCGTCCAACGCTCTAATTATTTGATTTTAAAATGCCCATAAGAATTATCGTATCTACTATAAAATATCACATTCAATTTGCACACACCTCGCTACGACTATGCGTGTGCTCTCAACCAGCAACAAGTCGTACATCTCATCGTAGCGAAAGCTCTGAAATATGTCCATGAACAAGATCCCGAATTTTAAAACCCCACTTCTCTCTTTTACGTAAACACACTTAAACTACTTAGCCGCTACACTCCGTATTATACCTAGTCACTACACCTATAATATACTTAGCAACTACACCATTTAACCTTCATAGCCACTCAACCTTATTCTCATACTTCCTTTTAAAACTAACATTCATTATAACAAATTAAGTCTTTTCGATATTCAACCTACTATCCTTACACGATGACTAGATGAACACATAACATAGTTAACCTATCTGAACAACTCAGTCATGCGATCTTCATAGCACCCAGTTAATATTTAGTCGAGAGTAAAAAAAAAAAATTGAACTGTAAGAAACAATGGAACAAACTATAAAAGAAGCAATAAACAAAAATGAAAGAAAAATCAACGGAATCAAATAATGAACACGCAATAAAAAAACAACAATGGAACATGCCATCTGCATGCTTAACAACTCATAGATAGACCTTGATTAAAACAGTAAAGATCATATGTCAGAAATTTAAAAATGGCTGAAAATAAACCGGTGGGACACACATTGATGAGTTTAAAAAGGGGACATATGAACTCCTATGATAGTAGAATGAATACTCGACTGAATGACATGTTAGGACATCTTGTTTATATTAGCTAACGTCTATGGCTTAAAATCACTCTTTTATTCTGTTCTATTCTTTTATATATCCTATAACTAATTTATAAATTGTGAAGATGAAATAGAAAAAAGTGAAATACTAACATTAAGCAGTTTAAATTTTAGGAACACAAAAATAAGGTGGTATGGGTTTTCAAACGTGACAGAATTTGATAAAATGCCATTTCATTTCCTAATTACGGGGATCATTACCGTGTTTTTTTTAATCTCGTGTTTATGCTACGATACTTCCGTATTACGAGTGTATCTATATTTCAGTTAGAGTCTGTGCTGCTACATTTCCGGAGGTTGCTGGTGGGCGGAAGTGTTTAAACTGAGTTCATCAGAATTAAATCACAAGAAAAAGAAAAAAAAAAAAAACTTAGAGAAATACGTCACCAACCCCACGGATGGATGGGACTCGATAACTGTTTACCGCATTCCAGTTCAACACTGCATTAAAATTTTACAATGCATTACAGTTCAACACACATTACAGTTCAACACTGCATTAAAATTTAACACTGCATTACAGTTCAACACTGCATTACAGTTCAACACTGCATTAACATTTAACAATGCATTACAGTTAAACACACATTACAGTTCAACACTGCATTAAAATTCAACAATGCATTACAGTTCAACACACATTACAGTTCAACACTGCATTAAAATTTAACAATGCATTACAGTTAAACACACATTACAGTTCAACACTGCATTAACATTTAACAATGCATTACAGTTAAACACACATTACAGTTCAACACTGCATTAAAATTTAACACTGCATTACAGTTAAACACCGCATTACAGTTCAACACTGCATTAAAATTTAACAATGCATTACAGTTAAACACACATTACAGTTCAACACTGCATTAAAATTTAACACTGCATTACAGTTAAACACCGCATTACAGTTCAACACTGCATTAAAATTTAACAATGCATTACAATTAAACACACATTCCAGTTCAACACTGCATTAAAATTTAACAATGCATTACAGTTAAACACACATTCCAGTTCAACACTGCATTAAAATTTAACAATGCATTACAGTTAAACACACATTCCAGTTCAACACTGCATTAAAATTTAACAATGCATTACAGTTAAACACACATTCCAATTCAACACTGCATTAAAATTTAACAATGCATTACAGTTAAACACACATTCCAGTTCAACACTGCATTAAAATTTAACAATGCATTACAGTTCAACACACATTCCAGTTCAACACTGCATTAAAATTTAACAATGCAATACAGTTAAACACACATTCCAGTTCAACACTGCATTAAAATTTAACAATGCATTACAGTTCAACACACATTCCAGTTCAACACTGCATTAAAATTTAACAATGCATTACAGTTAAACACACATTACAGTTCAACACTGCATTAAAATTTTAACAATGCATTACAGTTCAACACTGCATTACAGTTAAACACTGCATTGCAGTTCAACACCGCATTACAGTTGAACACCGCTTTACAGTTCAACACTGCATTACAAAGCAATTTTGCTTTTACAGTACCAAATCACACCACAGTGCTACTCCTCAAAATAGTGTTACACCATATCACAGTGTCAATTCGCATTACAGTGCAAGTTTTCATTACAGTGCCTCACCGCATTGCAATTCCACTTCTTATTAAATTACCAAACCACATTACAATTCTACTCATTTTGCAGACAAAAGTTTCAAGTTAAGATACTTTTAATTAAACCAATTTTATACTACTTTTATTTGACCAATTTTAATTCCACTTAAACAGCACTAATTGTCAGTTTTTTTGGTTAAATTTAAAAGTGTTTCTAGCTGTCACTATCCCACACAACGTTTGTACATTAATACTCCATGGTATTCTGGGCGTGACGACATAGTTTTATTCTTTTATAACTATTTCATTAATATTAATCAAAGTTTTTTTGGAATATAAAAAAAGCAGATCACGAAAACACCAGAGTTGCATTGACAGCACCATCGATGCAAAGACAACACCAGTTAGTCCTTGAACACAAGTTAGAAATGAAAAACATAGTTTGGAAATAGATAATACTAGAGAGATATGGAGAAGAGCAATGAGTAATAGACATTACAAAAACGACTTGGGTAA